AATATTTAATGCATGAAGTATATTTTAAGAAATAACTCACACCCAATATCCATGCGACGAAAAATTTCCGTTTTCCTCGTGTTTGAAGTATTATGACAGGTTAAGCGATACGCTTAGTAACTCGAAACAATGATTATGTAGATCGGTGTAGATCGGTTGCATTTTTTTGCACTATTATCATAACATGTCGACAAATTAAAACTCCATCGATCATCTCAGCGACTTCAAAAGTCGCCTTTAATCTACTCTAGCAAGATGGCCTGTATAAAGACTACAGGCCTATCATCTATGGCGTTTACGCTTTACTCGTTATTATCTCTTCTTTGGATAAGCTCCACCAAAGCTGAAGGTTGGTTGTAGTTCATGTTTTAATTGAAGTTGCTATTACTGTCCGTTTGATACAGTCACTACTTGGCTGCCTGCAGTCACTAGTTCTTTGTTTGTTTTTTATTCCCGTCAAGTATGGTGTTTCAGCACAACTTTAAAAACAACTTTTGAACTTAAGAAGAAGCAAACAAACTCAGAACTAAAACACAAACAACCTTGCGTACATAATTTCAGACTCACTGTTGTCTAAATATATGGTCAATTAAATGCCCATGGGAGTATGTGACTCAGCTGAAAACCAACCATTGTGGAGTATTGTATTAAACGTTTGGCAACGCTGTTCGCGTTGAAAATGTGGCTGTTGCATTCTGCCTGATAACGCTTAGTTCAAATATACATGTATAAAGAATGGTTTGATTAAGTTTTTGTTAGATTGGAATTTGTCTCATATTGTAACGTGAACAAATCTCAGGTAATTATGCAAAACCTTAGAATGCCACAGCCATAAGTAACTTCCAGAAACAATGATCACTTTTCTCCGAAATAACAGAAAATTTAGAAATACCGATATCTGCGGAAGCGACCGAGAGGCACAAGCCCGAGCAAATTCAAAGAACATACCAAATTAACAATGAAACTGTCAAGCCAGTAGTTCGTAGAGGAAACTTTAATTATGTCTTAGAAACGAAACTGCTTGGGTGTATGTTATCAACACAAAGATTGAAAGTCATGTTTATTCATTACACGTCTAATGAAATCTTGCTAACTACTACATAACAAAACAAACAGAGGCACAGCAGGCCAATTTTTTTTTTAAATATAAAGAAGGTTTTTTGTATTGTCAAATATAATAGAGTAAAATGATGTATAAACCCGCAGAGATCAGTTTGTGCTAAAATGAATTCAGACAAGTCTACAAGCAAACAGTTTGATGTTTAACAACTTCGTCACTGAACCGTTAAAACGCGACTTGATTTTAAACGTTTAAAATTGTCGTTTCCCAGATCAGTCTTGACGTATGGTATTAAGAAATACTTTGTCCGTGATTGTGTTTGATATACTAGTATGTGAAACTAGTATCTGCGAGTTCTTATAGTGTGCTAATTTCGGTAGCTATTTGTGAAGCTTGTTGAAGACGCTGTACTTAATTTGGCAATCAATCATGATTTTGACATCGCATTGCGTTAGAGGTTCTTGTCTTTGAAGCGGAAAAGAAAAGTGTATTGATAAGACTTTGGGAGCCGTCAAAACCGTTCAAGGCTTTGGTTGTTTATTGCGCCTGACAACAAGATGCAACTGATTGTTTCAAATACAATCCTTAATTGTTTTATCTATTTATTTTAAAGACTAGAAATGTGTGCGTACGAATTTAGACAATTTGCGGATACTTGCTACTACACGTAACCAGGTCTCGCAAGAACGTTACGCATGTTTTCAATCGCGCGTGCTTGTCGCCATGCCATCTTAACGATATGCCTTATCGACGAGTCCAATATTAGAATCACGTCAGTCGAAATCGGATCTTCCTTGTGACGTTTGCCGGACTTCCCTAAAAACAATTGCCGAGTGTAGCACCAATTATCGGTAAATTGTTTAAATTCTTAAGCTTACTGCGCATATTTCTCAAATTATAGCCATCATGTTAAGAGTTTTGGAATATATTGATAATCTTAGCGCCATAGAAATTGATATAATCTATTATAATTATTTTTTTTTATGTCTTGACTATCGCACAAAGGCCATCTGCGACCGTATAATAGCATCGAAAGTTAACCTTTTGGTCTTTAAGAAATTTAACTCAATGTAATTTTTAAATTCAAAATTATTTTCCACTTGAAACTTTATAACTCCATACAAAGATAAAGATCGGTGACTAAGTTCTTAAACCCAAGCGTAACACGATTGTCTGGAGGTTCGTTGCCAATTAAAGAGTGCTTTTTTCTTTTGTCTTGATGACCACACAAGTGCTATTCGCTTACGATTGAGACCAGACTCCACTGAGGCGTTACCATCTAAAGTCTACGTCTAGTGAGTAATATGGAGATTAAACAAATCACGGCGGCGACGCCATCTAGAACGTCACCAAACAAAAGGGCAAATGAGCAAAATAATACCATAGCTATGCACGTACGTTGTGAATGTTGATACATTTCTTGTCCGTCAGCTGCAAAACAACAACGTGAAACGATCAAGTTCTACTAATTTTGGAAAACGTGAACCACAATGGCTAACCTTTCGTATCTTCCTTTGGAATTGAACACTGTCATTGTATGTTTAGCCTGTGCAAGTTTTTAGATCGATAGGCAAACTCTCAGATCCACACAGCTGCGACAATCGAAGGTAAAATATGAATAATTTTTTACAAAGCGTCGTCCTCCACGTGGCGGTCGTCATTCAGTGCCGGAAGCTCCCTGATATCTACAATATTACACGCTCTGCAGACAAATTACTAGGTCGGTTGCGAATAATGTTGTTAATGTTGTCAAAGGAGTTTTACAGGAAAAGACGAACTAAGGGCTTGTCAACCAGTTCTGTTCTTAGAGACAGCAGTGTTCTGGACAAGTTTGTTTGTTTTTTTTCGGCTAGAAGAGTATTTTTCACTTGTGTATTAAATTTGAAAGTCAGTAAACAATTTAGCTGAAAACAAAATCAGACCGTCGTTAGCGCTGAGCTGAGTACAGAATGGCACAAAACTAAATTTGTAACTGATTCAAGTTGTAAAATTGTTGGCTATTTACTATTCTTTCCTCCAGTGCGTATATAGGTTTGTATCGTTATATTTTAGATGCAATAATCATTTGAAGTAACCGTGAATAAGAAGAAGTTGTTCGATGGAAATGACTACATGAAGCATCTTTTCAATTCGATACAGTCTTTTATTTCTTTGATGGTAATAACGTAAAATATAAATTGCAATCACAACCTAATTTGTTTTCTTGCAGAGTTTCGCTGCCGCTACGTATTTTCAAACGCATTATCATATTATGTTTAACTTAGCTTTCTCTGCAAACCCAAGTTAAGCTTGCCGGTACCCTTTTAAGAAACGCATTCACCTCATGTCTCTTTCTTTAGTTTTAGTCATTTATAAAAACAAAACAACTTGATTTAAGATGTTAATTGCAACGATGATTAACGAATGATCAACGATGGCTGTCAGCCTCCGCTAGCCTCAGCCTATGGTTATTTCAGGGAGCTAGTACTCTAAGTTTTACTTGTAATATTTTCATTGTTGTAATTTTTTTAGAGCAAGATTGAGTACAAATAAAGATTGATTGATTGATCATGAGTGAGAAATGTGGAATCGCGGGAAAAAAGTTATTGTCTTTACACTCTGACATCGACTGGCGTTAATGCACTGCTTCAAAAAGTCGATAAACGTCGTAAGACATACAACTCAAGGGCATTACTTTCTCTCCAGTCACAAGCATTAGATTTTTTGCAACCAATAAATAAGTGTACACATTTTGAAGTTCATGAACTAAATTTTAAATTCATAATTATACTATCTTTTTTGTTATTTAAAGTGGACTTTGCATTTTGTAACAGTTTAGCAGATATGTGTATTTTGTTGTTGATGATGATGATGTGTATCATCTTTCGCCCCTTACTTTAAAATTTACTTTTACTCGCAAAGTTAACTGTTCAATAACGTTATATGTACTTTTCTGTCCTGTTCTGTTCTGTTCTGTTCTGTTCTGTTCTGTTCTGTTCTGTTCTGTTCTGTTCTGTTCTGTTCTGTTCTGTGGACAACGGGTTTTCTCGCTCTGAACTCTAAACGGAAGTTGCGAAGCCTAAACTGGCTACAAACTTGTGTACTTGACTCAAGGAAATGAACTCGACTCGGGCATCAGCTCGGAACAACTCGCTTGCTGCAGGAGAGGAACGCAACGGGTTCCAAACTACCGTCGGATCTGTAACAACTGGAAATACGATCATTCGAAGAACTTGGACCTCACCCCTTTATTCCTTTCTCTTCTTCTTCCAAGTAAATCTTCTATGTAAATCGTAGATGTCAATCGCAGATGTAAATCTTATTTCGAGGATTATAGTACTCTATTTACACTAACGAAATACACGATTGCGTCATCTTAGGAACAAATGATAGAGGGCTAATTAAAGTCAGCTTGAAACCTGAAAGTAGCCTGAATAAGCTCAGCTGCATATGGAGTAAAGCCAGCTGGTCATAGGCCTCATGTAATGTGCGTCTGCAGAACACACGTCCAGCCTGAGAAGCTATGTAAAGTCAGTCGAGTTTTCCTTCGCTGTATCAGCAACAAATACATTCATTCTATTTAACGCGCATTCGAATTGTTATTTATCCAGGTGTGTGATCTAAAGTTTGCTGAAAGTACATTATTTAGTGCACTAATTTATGCAGATTTCCAGGCAAAAGATATAACGTCTAAAACACCAAAAATCCTACTTTTATATTATTGCAGTCCACGTGAACATAAACCATATTGAAACTATAATTTCCCTAACATCTGTTATGTTATATTATGTTAAGTTACGTCATGTCTGATGTTATGTAATTATGTTGTGCATGTTTTCTAACCAATGGACTAGTTTAAAAGTAGTTAAACTTAGCCAAGTTGTTTCGTTCACGCATTAACAAGATTTCTTTTTCTTAACCTCAGTTTGTTCCGCTGAAATGAACGTGGTGTTTGCCGTGGATGGGTCGTACAAGGTGGGCGTGGCCAACTACGACCTTATCGTAAATTTTGTCTCCAATGTTTCCAGTAACTTTGACGTGGCTGTTAACAAGACCTGGATCATTACCGTACTTGGAAACGAGACAGCCGTCTATAAAACCAAAGAAGAGTTAGACAATTCTACGCTGACAAGTTTCCCAAATAGTTCACACGTATTCCTCGGTCAAACTTTGGAATTAGTTATGCAACGTTTAAGTGAAAATGACACTCAAAGAGATGCTCCTAACGTGGTCGTTCTTATAGCAACACACACATCTGATGACGACATTGCTATTCCAACAGTTCACTTAAAGACGTCCAATGCGACTTTATTCGTGGCGGGTATTGGCGACCAGTTCTCATTTGGTCAGCTAAAAGAGATAGCTTCTAATCCCGACGAAGAGCATTTCATGGAAGCTAATGACACGACTGATTTATTAAAACGTTTTTCAACACCCTTAGCTAATAAAATATGTCAAGGTAAGTGCACAATTTGAATATTTTTCCATCCATTACATTTAGACAAAGCGCTGTTCTCCCGGGAGGGCAACTCCCAAATAGAAAGGATGGGAGTACTCGGAAATTTTGAAAAGAACCCCTAAGAGGTACATATTCTAAAACAACACATTATCTGCTGCCATTGTGTTTTCGGCTCAATACCCTAAAAGGTACCACAAAAACTCCCGCCGTGGACATTTTGAGGCTGAACACAATGAGATTTACTAAAACCGCCTTTTTAACCCCTGAAAGGAAGAACGAGCACCCTGTCCTATTTATATGGGAGTAAGGCTGTTTTACCATGTTGCTATTGCACTATTTTTGTACTGGTGTTATTACTGTTTTTGCCCTGGTTATGAGTTACTCCAATACTGAAAAATTGGCTCTGCGTATACAGTGTCCAGCCTATTCCCTTAAGCAATAATTTACACCGTTGCACTCATGATAAAAAACAATTAATCAGCTCCCTTAATTTCTACTGGGAGTAATGTACCGACTTGTAAATACTTGAAACTCAGAAATACCTTGTCCAGCACTACATGCGTACCATATTGCGATGAAAGATTTCCACTTATATATATGTAAATGGTTACACATTAGTTAAGGGTTCCTTCAACAGATTTACAAGTTGAAACCATCTTGCACAGGATCATAATCAGTGCCTCACGAAAGTACTGCCTAATAGCTTTGATTTGAATGGTCACCCACACTAGGGTTTCATCCACAGACTTAAAAGCTAGAACCACCTTGTACAACATAATAAACAGTACCACATGAAAGTACTGCTCAATAGCTTTCATTTGGATGGTCACACACTAGGGTTAAATCCACAGACTTAAAAGTTAGAACCACCTTGCACAGCATAATAAACAGTAACACATGGAAGTACCGCTTAATAGCTTTCATTTGAATGGTCACACACAGGGTTTCATTGACAAACAAAAACAGTCTTGTAGAGTACTTGAAGAATACCACATGAAAGTGAATTGCTAAGTCTTTTCTTAGACGAAATTCCTAGAGCAAAAACATTTTATAATCAATTTCAGTTCAGTGGCACCACAGGGGAGCTCCCACATGAAAAGGTCGGGGATGCTCGTCGAAATTTTCAATTAAACACGTAATGGAGACCTAATGGGCGTGGCTGGAGGTTTACTTGACCCCTATAAGATAATATTTAAAAGGGAATAGCCTCGATTACCAGTCACTGTTCAAAAAGGGAGCCGGGTCTAATAGAAAGGACTCGAAAGAGTGGCGGAAACCGAGCCTAAAAACGGAAATGAGAGCAGCTTTTAATTATTATCTTTTCGGGTGCACACTAAAAGATACTCTGACTGCTGAAATTAGTAGCGTTTCTTCCTGAACACTCCAAGTAAGACCAAAATTCTTATTATACACCCCAAGGAGTGACGATGAGCATCCCGAACCTTTTCATATGAGAGCTCTCCACACCCCTCTCCCCCCTATTCGTGGCGGGTATTGGCGACCAGTTCTCATTTGGTCAGCTAAAAGAGATAGCTTCTAATCCCGACGAACAGCATTTCATGGAAGCTAATGACACGGTTGATTTATTAAAACGTCTTTCAACACCCTTAGCTAATAAAATATGTCAAGGTAAGTGCACAATTTGAATATTTTTCCAGCCATTACATTTAGACAAAACGCTGTTCTCCCGGGAGGGCAACTCCCAAATAGAAAGGATGGGGGTACTCGGAAATTTTGAAAAGAACCCCTAAGAGGTACTTATTCTAAAACAACACATAATCTGCTGCCATTGTGTTTTCGGCTCAATACCCTAAAAGTTACCACAAAAACTCCCGCCGTGCACATTTTGAGGCTGAATACAATGAGATTTACTGAAACCGCCTTTTTAACCCCTGAAAGGTAGGACGAGCACCCTGTCCTTCTTCTATGGGAGTAAGGCTGTTTTACCATGTTGCTATTGCACTATTTTTGTATTGATGTTATTACTGTTTTTGCCCTGGTTATGAGTTACTCCAATACTGAAAAATTGGCTCTGCGTATACAGTGTCCAGCCTATTCCCTTAAGCAATAATTTACACCGTTGCACTCATGATAAAAAACAATTAATCAGCTCCCTTAATTTCTACTGGGAGTAATGTACCGACTTGTAAATACTTGAAACTCAGAAATACCTTGTCCAGAACTACATGCGTACCATATTGCGATGAAAGATTTCCACTATATGTCTAAATGGTCACACATTAATTAAGGGTTTCGTCAACAGATTTACAAGTTGAAACCATCTTGCACAGGATCATAATCAGTGTCTCATGAAAGTACTGCCTAATACCTTTCATTTGAATGGTCACACACTAGGGTTTCATCCACAGACTTAAAGGCTAGAACCACCTTGTACAACATAATAAACAGTACCACATGAAAGTACTGCTCAGTAGCTTTAATTTGAATGGTCACACACAGGGTTTCATTGACAAACAAAAACAGTCTTTTACAGTACTTGAAGAATTTCACATGAAAGTAAATTGTTAAGTCTTTTCTTAGACGAAATTCTTTGGGCAAAAATATTTTATAATCAAGTTCAATTCAATGGTACCGCAGGGGGGCTCCCACATGGAAAGGTCGGGGATGTTCGTCGGAAATTTTCAATTAAACACCTAATGGAGACCTAATGGAAACATAATGGGCGTGGCTGGAGGTTTACTTGACCCCTATAAGATATTATTGAAAACGGAATAGTCTCGATTACCAGCCACTGTTCAAAAAGGGAGCCGGGTCTAATAGAAAGGACTCGAAAGAGTGGCGGAAGCCGAGCCTGAAAGGGAAATGTGAGCAGTTTTTGATCATTATCTTTTCAAGTGCACCCTAAAAGATACTTTGATTGCTAAAAATAGTGGCGTTTCGTCCTGAACATCCTAAGTAAGACGAAAATTCTTATTATACATCCCAAGGTGAGACGATGAGCAGCCCTTTTCATATGAGAGCTCTCCATACCCCTCTCCCCACCCCCCGCTTCCCCTGAGAACGGTACACCAGAACTAAAGAAAATGCCTGCTTGTAAACTCCTCTTTGTTGTACAGTTGTGGACAGATGTGTGAGCTCTCCATGCCATAACAATGGTAAATGTACCAGCATTCCTGGTGGGTACAGCTGCGATTGTCTGCCAGAATTCAATGGAGATAACTGTGAGATAAGTAAGTTAAAAGAAGTAAAGCGAGTTTGTCTGTCATTTCTTACCCGGCAACGCTTACTGAGCTCAAGCGGTAGCCTATCCTGTCGGGAAATCAAATCAAAATTTGTTGTTTTAATTTATTATATATTTTTTTTGAACTTATTACTATTATTATTATTATTATTATTTTCAAATGGGAGAAGAGAGGTATCCCCATGAATCTCGGTCGCAGTGCTCTCTCTTTCCCGACTGTAGACCTGTTCTCAACGATTTCTTCCTCCTCCATTAGAATCGAAAGTAACCTTATCTGACTAAAGAAATAAGCCCTACGCTCCTACAGTGAACCAATCATGACAGTAAGCAAGACGTGAATGAATGAACGAATGAATGGATGAATCTTTATTGTCTCTACAGGCAAGTTTGTGGAATACATACACCTGGGGTGTTTCCAAGACAACAATGTCACCAGTGTAATTCCATCTTTGGAGTCAGAGAATGCCACGTACCTCGATGGTAATTTCAAAACAAGAACTAACCCTATTAAAAAATGTGCTTTGGAAGCTGCCAAGATGGGCTACAAAGTGTTTGTTCTTCAAGACGGAGGTGCCTGCCATTCTGGTCCTCATGCTTATCTAAATAACAGTGTATATGGTGATGGCTTCTGTGGTATAGATCCTGGGCTGGGTGATGGTCTTGGAAATGACCTTTATCTTCTTGGAGGTTGGTGAATATACAGCCGGGTGCACGAAAACTGATATTGAAAATATTAGAAACTGAAATATTAATGCACTATACAGTAAGGTATACCAGCCAAGTGGCTTATCACACCGGAGCTTATCCCAGTCTCTGCAGCAATTTAAGCGACTGGGAGTATTTCTTACTCCCCCTAGAAGGGATGCTAGTCCATCGCAGGGTTACCCCGGCATTATATTCTCCGGTACCCATTTATAAACCAGGGTGGAGAGAGGTACCGTGGGAGTAAAGTGTCATGCCCAAGAACACAACACTATCTACCTGGCCAGTAATCTTCAGGTTTCTACTATACAGTGGTGCACTGATATTTTACACTGTTCTGGGTATAATTTATTTGCAGGTTATGCATTTACGTATTAAGTAGAACCTGTACATGCCTAATTTGCTAATTTTCAATACTATTAATTTCAATAGTTACTCATTTAGATAAGGAGGTAAGGTTAGCCTATCCCAATATTACATTTTAAAAAGAGTTAAAACAAGTCGAGAGTCAGTGTGCTTTACAGTATCATTTTGTCAGTGAAAATGGGCAAGAGTTTTACCTACATGTAAGGGTACTGGAATGCTTTCCATATCACCAAAAATTCTGGTTCAAATTCAATCACAAAATACATTTGATTTTTCATTGCCGCTATTGAACTAGTTTATTTGTCTTCCCTTTTTTTTTTTTGTTTTTTTTGTTTTTGTTTTTTTGTTTTTGTTTTTGTTTTTGTTTTTTCTTAAATACTGATGCATGGTATGGGCACTCATTTTACTGATTTCCATCATTATAATTTATTTTAGTGAAGCCAAATACTAAAATTTTCCCAAACCAAATAGTCTGTACTTAATAAGACTTCACTTTTGGCTTTTTTAGTTTAGTGACTTTTTAGTATGCAGAACCAGGTAATGTGTACACATGGGCAACTCAATTTGCTAACCCATTGTCTCTTTCTTTTTTGAAAAACAGCAAAATGTGGTAACCTGTTAAATGACAGTCTCATTCACTTATCGAACACCACAATCCATGGCTCATCTTTCAATGAATCCTGGAAAGTCCCTCTATTAAATGGAAACTATTCTTGGTGTCCAGAGGATAGTGACTTGACACGCAAACTTGAGATTGACTTAGGTAAGAGCAGAAAATAGTTCTTAGACAGGGCTCACAAAGGTGCTGTCCGATAACCCGGAACAATTAGATTTTCCTGCTGGGGAAGTAAATTTTCATTCTCATTTACCCAATGGGCCAAAAGGCAAGCTGGAATCCAATTATTTTCGAGCCCTGTAGGAAATGAGAGGAAATACTTAGCAAAAGTGTCCTTGTTAAAATTCAGTTTATCGTGAGTAACCATAGGCTGCCATGCATGCAAAAAGCAAAAACTGTAGCTCTCATATGCTCTCATAGCATTGCATGTCTTCAATGTTTGGTGACAGTAATACTGTATTGCATCTTATCATATACACACATTGTACCCTCTGCAGACATTGCATCCCTATAATGCCAAGTAACATTATTACTAATACCATAGGCCTGTAATACGTGTAAAGTACTACAGCTACATAGCTCTCTGCACATATTGTACCCTCTGCACACATTACATGCCTATAATGCTAAGTAGCATTATTACATAGTTCCATAGGCGTGCAATGCATATAAAGGACTTCAGTTATATAGCTCTCTCCGCACAATGTGCTCTCTGCACACATTGCATGCCTATAGTGTAGTACCACAGGCCTGCAATGCGTGTTAAGGACTACTGCTACATAGCTCTCTGCACACATTACATGTGTAAGACTCAGGACTAGTTTCAGACTAGTTTCATAAGCTTCCTTCTCGTGTAGGTGAGATGCCAATGTTGTAAATACAAATAGACACAACCTTTGAATTAAGCTAGGGCTTAAAATTGTACAAGTGTGTATTATCTAACTCTGCTGGGCCACTAGCGTTGTAAACTAAAGAAGCCTTACACCGTGAGGATAAATCTTTGGATCATAAAGGATTTGAAACCATGACTTCTGTCGCAGACCAAAAACTAAGCTATTCCTCTGGTTATTGAGAGTCATGTAGTCCTAAATGTAGGTTATGCTGGGGTTATATCTTTTATCAATTTGCTATATCTCACCAGAACCTTAAGCCATTTCGTTTCAGTCCACTTTCATGACTATTTGAGGACTTTTGCCGGATATTAAGCTCCACTCCACAAGCTGTAGGCGGTTATGAAACTGCTTATAACCGGCATTCTTTCGTTACACTTTCTTTTTTTAATAAGAATCTTGTTTTTCTGTCCGAGGCTGAATATTCTTATTTTTCTGCCCATTTTAGGCTGAAAATATTCTTGTGAATAATTTTAGATTACATCGTATGACATTGCAATTTTTTAATGTATTTGGTGCCTGGATGGTGTTAAATTATTCCTTTATTTCCTTAGGTAGTGTTTTTTGTTTTGTTTTGTTTTGTTTTGTTTTGTTTTTTGTTTTTGTTTTTGTTTTGTTTTTTTGTTTTATTTTTTTGTTTTTTGTCTTTTTTTTTTTTTAACGTAATTATGTATACGATAATTGAAACCCAATTAAGTCCCTTTTAAAGTTTAAACGTAATTTTGGAGTCAGCCTGTAGGGATTAAAGCCTGATATGACGCACATAGCTTCTTAGCGAAATGCTATTAACATCAAACATACGACCAGTGCTGTTTTTGTTGCTTTTTGGCTAGTTTTGCCGTTTAGTTAAAGAAGTAATTGTAATGTTTTTACAAATGTTCGACACAAAAAAATATATTCTTTTCAAAATCTCGTCCGCGGGTTTATTCTTAAAATTTCGCAAATTACAACATCGATATCCTTATAAAGTATAGTCTTTTGAAAAAAAAAAATTAGAAATGATAGTGGGTCAAAATTTTTTATACAGGCGAGAGAGATAAGCACATTATTTTGATGCTTTTATTTTTCCCGAAGGGCGCGAAGCTTTCTTAACTGAGCTGACTTTGCAAGGCAAAAAAGACTCCATGGATTATCCCGACAACTACTGTTTTGCCTCTGCTGTTGATGGTGATGCATATGAGGAGATCGTTAAAGACTTTTCAACTTGTTTAGTAAGAAACACAATGATATTTTACTGTGCCTTTTATTGAATAACTCGTGAACTTGCCTCAATCAACGGTTTTGTGTCTATCATCTTAGCGGACTTCCAAGGAAACAGGAGTTTACTTCAGCGGGTTCGAAACTGTCACACCTGTGGGTCATGGTATTGATAGATTTTAATCCACTCATTCTGGTTGTCACTTTTTTCAAGGTTCTTTGGTTGTCGTCGTAATTTAGGCTGACAGCAGCCTAAATGCGATTGCTTGCAGTTCGGTTTTGAACTTCAGAGTTCGCGTGGTATCGATCAGTAAAGGTGAAACTAATTCAGTTCAATTGAATTCAAATTAGTGTAAGGATTCGAATGTACATTTAGACATTGCTGGTCATTGCTGTTGTTTTTAATTAACAGTTTCATGTAGATGAAAAGCAAAAACATATTAAGCAGCATTGTGTTTACCGTCAAGTGTCAAGCATCTGGACATAACGTGATAATCTTGTTACATTACAGGTTAGCCTTTCAAACCAAAGTTCTAATACCAAACTTGAAGTCGTCCCAACTTCTGTGTTAACGGCTCAATATCTCACCTTTGCCCCATGGAGACCATTCAAAGGCGATGGAATGTGCCTAAGAATAGACGTTTTTCGCCGCTACAACGAATGTAAGGTTCTGTTCTATTTTATACCACTATAAATGTACAATTGATCTATCTCTTATTGGCTACTTCACTCACTATCTATTCAATTGCAGATAATGAGTAGCCTGGCAGTGTGCGGTTGATGACAGAATGGTTACTGCTTCTTTGCATTTTCAAAATGTCTGGGAAAAGAATTCACTGATAACGATTAATACTAAAACAATTTCTAGGTTATTCACACTCGATTTCTATACGAGATAGTTTACTGGGGCTGCGCCCTTGTAAGCTACATGCATCACGCGACAGACATCTCAAGCTCATAATCTAATTGTTTCATGAAAGATGTCTAAGGAAGAGCAACCTAAAGGCTTCGGTTGATCTGTTCTAGCTCACTTTATCTCGACTGAAACTACAACAAAATCCTCGAGTCCCGTATTAGCTAGCAAAACTGTTTGTCGTTCAATTCGCTTTTTTTTTTTTTTTTTTT